CTAGAACTGTTAAAATTATCACGTTTAGATAATCACTCACTTTACAACGGTTACCTCTTGTACTAGAACTGTTAAAATTATCACGTTTAGATAATCACTCACTTTACAACGGTTACCTCTTGTACTAGAACTGTTAAAATTATCACGTTTAGATAATCACTCACTTTACAACGGTTACCTCTTGTACTAGAACTGTTAAAATTATCACGTTTAGATAATCACTCACTTTACAACGGTTACCTCTTGTACTAGAACTGTTAAAATTATCACGTTTAGATAATCACTCACTTTACAACGGTTACCTCTTGTACTAGAACTGTTAAAATTATCACGTTTAGATAATCACTCACTTTACAACGGTTACCTCTTGTACTAGAACTGTTAAAATTATCACGTTTAGATAATCACTCACTTTACAACGGTTACCTCTTGTACTAGAACTGTTAAAATTATCACGTTTAGATAATCACTCACTTTACAACGGTTACCTCTTGTACTAGAACTGTTAAAATTATCACGTTTAGATAATCACTCACTTTACAACGGTTACCTCTTGTACTAGAACTGTTAAAATTATCACGTTTAGATAATCACTCACTTTACAGCGGTTACCTCTTGTACTAGAACTGTTAAAATTATCACGTTTAGATAATCACTCACTTTACAGCGGTTACCTCTTGTACTAGAACTGTTAAAATTACCATCTCTGTTGGGAAACAATTCTTAACACTCTATAGACCAAGTCAAATAAATTGATTTCGATAGCAAACGGACAGGTTGGAGGCGGTCCAGCGACGAGCGGCACGTTTTGCCCTGAAGCGCTACTGAAAAACCTCAAGTGTTGGCAGTATGCTGGAAACACTAGTCTGGTCACCATTGGAGGAATGATGACGACTATTTTAAGATGACAGGCTTTGTAGAGTCACCTTTTCAAGTCTCAATGCATCTAAGAATAAGCTGATGTCTCGATGAGTTCAATCGTGCACAATATAAAATTGCCAATGAAAGTACCAAACGCGTGTGAAGCTGTGTTCAATAGACACAAACAGTAGTGTTACTGCACTAAATGGCTTTCTTAAATACAATGATAGTCATTTTTGTTATATTTGATGGAAATCTAAGCAACTTCAATATGTAAATGCATGTAATACTAATTATGTATTTGTTCGATAACATCCAAATCTATGAAATCTTTAATATGTAATTATTAGTTACAGTTTATATGGAAGTGTATGCAATTTTTTATATGTAATGGTTGTAATGGTTAGATTATATATAAATGTATGTAATCTTTAATACATTATTCTAAGATTGTATGTAAGTGTATGTATTGATGTATAATTGTTAGATTATAGTCAAATTTATGTAATCTTTTTTGATAATTGTTCAAGGATACATAAGTCTATGTAATCTTTAATGTTATTCTTAGATTATATGCAAATGTATGTAATCTTTAATGTAAAATTGTTAGAATGGGCCTATATAGAATTGTATGGGATCATTATTGTGTAATTCATTTGGGATCATTATTGTGTAATTGTTAGATTATATGTAAGTGTATGTAATCTCTAATATGCAATTGTTACCTTATATGTAAGTGTATATAATCTTTAATATGTCATTTTTAGTTAATATGTAAGTGTATGAAATCTTTAAAATGTAACCGTGAGAGTATATTAAACTGTATGCAATCTTTAATAAGTAATTTTTAGTCATATGTAAATGTATGTACATTTTATTATGTAATTGTTTGATTAATAAATTATAATAAATTTAATACAATAATAATTTTAAAAATTATAAAGTATTTATCTGAATATGAGAGTTGCGAAACGTTTTGACATCAGCATCACGATACCTCATTTTCTGGTTTACCCGACCGTTAACCAAGCCGAGAAGCCTTATAAAATATAATTGATAAAATAGTATCAGTAATGTATTACTATTATTTTTTTGAAACGATGACTATGGTGGATAGAAAATGCGAATTAACCAGAATTGTACAGGATCGCACGCCAGTAGCGGCAATAAGAAAGGGCAATCTACACTGGGATGGACACTGACTAATTGGCGTAAACATTTATTTAAATTTGAAGTTAAAACTATTATTCTTCATTTTGTTGACCAATTGTACACATAATCTGTTGAGGGTTTGAGATTAATCTCTTGAAACCCCGACTAGTACTTTGTCAATCAACTCCATCTGCTGAACTCTGCTTTGTAACATTTTATTTACGCGGGGCTCTCCCACCGCACTGGCATCCACTGAAATATCCAGTGCGGGGCACTCGGTCCACAGCTGCGCTTAAGTCTCTGGGTCCAGGCTGCAGTGCCGACAGCTTGGGTCCCTGTTGTTGTCTAGCCTATTGAAGTATGTGTTTATGGGGCAATGCTCGGTACGCATTAGTGTCGCTAGTCTCTCCCATCTGCGATCCAGCTTCCACTTCTGCAGGTGCGGTGCTTGTCGGACGCGATGTAGTTATCTACTCTTACCCTAGATCTGCTCTCAGGATCTTGAGCATCAGAGAGATCAGAGAAACGGTAAATGTACAGCAGATTCCGTGGCATGTTGACGTCATTTTCAATATAAACAAAAAAATAACCCCTATCTAAACCCGGGGCTCCCCAGCCTCAGCCAGATGTACCAGTCTCAGATCGAGGTATCAAATCCTGGTTGGTAAATAACAAGAAGGCTAGAGGTGCATTCCTCAAAATTCCGTCTCCTCATTAGATTGGTCGTGAAGTCGACCTCCTCTGAACGACGTCCATAGGCGTTAGTGTTGGGACAGCCCATATACCCCCTATAAGCGTTAAACCCCCAGCTATAAATGTGTTACTAATGGATGTTGTGCCATGCAAGGGCCGGCACAGCGTATTTCTAGGAGTGATATTGCAGTTGTTAATGGTAAAGTACTTACCACCTACACCTACTCTCATGGTCAGAGTATCCGGTCCCACCAACGTCTCCGCCCTCGACTAGCTCCGCTGTGAAGGGGGCTACTTCCAAGGGTAACCAGCCCTCGGCGCTTTTAGCCAGTGCAGCGGTCAACCGTGAAGCCCGTTATATGAGATGATTTCTTCTTCAGTAATAATTCCCTTGGTAGAGATACGTCCACCAGCCCGGCAGTGCCGTACGTTGTTGAGTTAAGTTATTGTCCCTCTGACCCCGCAAGAATTAAGATGAAGATCTAGCAATGGTTTAGGGAGGTAACCCGCGGCACCTTGCCAAGTGGGCCCGGTCGCATCAGCGTTAATAGTCGACCTGAGCCTTGCAAACCGATCTGAATGAGAGGAATGGGTTCGAAAGCCCCCTTGGACGGTAGTCAGTCGTTCTATGAGGAACATTGTCTGGACTCTACTCATTTTACCTTTCACTCGGATGGAGGTGCCGAGGAAAACTCTCACCTAGGTTTTTGGGAGACAGACGATTTCGTGGCGCTTTTAGCTTACAGTAAGAGTAATGGAGCGGCGGGGGGGGGGGAGGGGAAATTTAATGAATTATCCACTACCATTACTGTATGCTCCCCTACCCTTACTGTGTACTCCCCTATTCTTACAGTATGGTACAAGGTGCCGAGGAAAACTCTCACCTAGGTTTTTGGGAGACAGACGATTTCGTGGCGCTTTTAGCTTACAGTAAGAGTAATGGAGCGGCGGGGGGGGGGGAGGGGAAATTTAATGTATTATCCACTACCATTACTGTATGCTCCACTACCCTTACTGTGTACTCCTCTATTCTTACAGTATGGTACACTACTCTTAATTTCAAGCTCCACTATTCTTACTGTATGACCCCTACTCTTAATGTATGGTCCACTACTCTTACTGTATACTCCACTACTGTTACTGTATTCATCTACCCTTAATATATGCTCCATTTCTCTTACTGTATGCTCTAATGCTCTTAATACAAGCTGCACTACTCTTACAGTATGCTCCACTAATCTTACTTTATGCTCCACTACTCTTACTGTATGCTCTAATGCTCTTAATACAAGCTGCACTACTCTTACAGTATGCTCCACTAATCTTACTTTATGCTCCACTACTCTTACTGTATGCTCCACTACTCTTACTGTATGCTCTAATGCTCTTAATACAAGCTGCACTACTCTTACAGTATGCTCCACTAATCTTACTTTATGCTCCACTACTCTTACTGTATGCTCCACTACTTTTACAGCATGGGCCACTACTCTTACATTAAACTCAACTACTTTTAATGTGTGACCCCAACTCTTATTGTATGGTCAACTACTCTTAATATATACTCCACTACTCTTACTATATCCTCCAATACTCTTAGTGCATGACCCACTACTCTTACTGTATACTCCAATATTTTTACTATATGCTCAACTTCTCTTACTGTATGGTCCAATACTCTTACTGTAGACTTTACTATTTTTACTATATGCTGCACTACTCTTCCTGCATGCTCCTCTACTTTTACGATCCTCCATTACTCTTACTGTATACTCCATTACTTTTACTGTATGGTCCACTAGTCTTACTGTATGCTGCACTACTCTTACTCCATTTTCCACTACTCTCACTGTTCGCTCAACTATATCCATTCTCTTCTGTCTCTTTATTAATCACAATATCGACATGAAGCATAGCTATAGACTCATTCATTTTAACAGCAAGAATTGCATCATTATGAGAATATTTATCTCTGTTTCATCTCCCATGTCCTAGATCTTATTGTTCTTGTTACCTTTAGTCCGGTAATATCCAACGTAGAGTCAACGCCCCACGGGAGAGGGGGTGAATTTGAGTTTTTAGAGGGGGTAATTAGAAAACGAGCTTCCTAGACTTTGAAAACCAGCCGTCTTCTATGACTAAATTGTATTTTGAAAAAAAGAGCAACATTAAAGTCTCTATTTACTGCTCATACTGCGACAGTTGATCGTACGTTTGAGGTTACTTATGAAATATCATTACTCATCGCTAAATCTGGGAAATTTCATACTATAGGAGAGTATTTAATCACACCATCAATATCAGCATTTCTTAAAATGGTTAAGGTAAAAGATGACAAAGAAGTGAAAGCAATGCCACTCAGTAACAATACTGTTATCAGAAGAATAGACGAAATGAGTGAAGCAAGTGAAATACAACTTGTTGAAAAGCTGAAAAAAGAAAACTCTCCATGCAAAAGGATGAATCAACTTTGACAGAAATTTAGGCTGTATTGGAAACTTACGTAAGATATAATGATAAAGGAGATTTTGCTGAAGAAATGTTGTTCTGTAAATCTTTAGAAAGGACCACTACCGCCAAAGTTAGATATATATATATATATGTATATTATATTATATATATATATATATATATATATATATATATATATATAATAAGGTAAAAAAAATTACTTAGATGTCAATAATATACCAAGAAAATTATAACATCTTGTGCTGCAGATGTGGCTCCTAATATGATGGGTAAGAAAAATGGCTGGTTAAAGTTGATGAAAGATGAGACTCCAGAAATGCATTTGAGCGTTGTGTTATTAGCTAAAAACATTTCCCCTGCTCTAAATGAAGTACTCAATTGAGTTATAAATTTGATCAATCCTGTTAAAGCTAATGGCAAATGTGAGAATCTATTCAAGCTCTTTTGTGAAGAACAAAATGCAGACCATGTGAGACTTTGACTTCACACTGAAGATGGCTTCCAAAAAGAGAATTGCTTCAAACGACGTATGGAATTGTTTGATACTCTTGCGATTTTTTTAAAGTGACAAAACCTGATATGAAGTATCTGTCAGCGGTCGATGGTAAAGCATTTGTGAGTTATTTAGCCGATATCTTTGAAAAACTAGATATATAAAATAATCAACTTCAAGGAACAAATAAAAGTCTTGTCGATGAAAAAGCGAAGATATTTTGTTTTATTACCTTTCTTTTTTTATGTCAGGCCTTAGGGTACGCCATTGAATGTTAGGCCTTAGGGTACGCCATTGAATGTTAGGCCTTAGGGTACGCCATTGAATGTTAGGCCTTAGGGTATGCCATTGAATGTTAGGCCTTAGGGTACGCAATTGAATGTTAGGCCTTAGGAGAAGCAATTGAATGTTAGGCCTTAGGGTACGCCATTGAATGTTAGGCCTTAGGAGAAGCAATTGAATGTTAGGCCGTAGGGTACGCCATTGAATGTTAGGCCTTAGGCTACGCCATGGAGGCATAAAATACCCAAAAAGTGAACTATGTTTTTTATTGCAAACGCTGACCAAAAATTAAGTTTAACCACTTGAAGAAGTTATGCGTTCAATAGTTCGCACCCGTCCCGTGGACATTGGCAAAGTAAATACATTCTCTGTATCCCATGGCAGATCCGCCGGCACCCTGACAAGATTTTGCAGACTAAGGATGACAAACCACCGCCATTCCTTGAAAATACTTTCCTTAAAAAAAAGCAAAAAATTAAGATTTCCTAGACCCCCCCCCTCATGTCCCCCCCCCCAAACGCCCGTGTATCATAGAATGTATGTTTTCCTATAATCTTTAAATTGCTTTCATGTGAGGCATACCCAGCAATTTAGGAAACATTTTGCTGACAGTATTTCGACCCTATTTGTTTTGTACGTCACAATAATAATTGTTTATTAAAAGATGTTTTGTTTTTTTATTTCTACTGGGTAAGGGGTTCGACACCTGTCTTGTTTAACACGCATGTTGTGGGGGGGGGGAGAGCTTAGTGTACATAAGCACTGGGCGGTGTTTGAGAGTTTAGCGTACATAAGTAGTGGGAGGTGTTTGAGAGCTTAGTGAACATAAGTAGTGGGTGGTGTTTGAGAGTTTAGTGTACATAAGCATTGACTGGTGTTTGAGAGCTTAGTGTACATAAGCATTGAGTGGTGTTTGAGAGAATAGTGTACATAAGCATTGAGTGGTGTTTGAGAGCTTAGTGTACATAAGCATTGAGTGGTGTTTGAGAGAATAGTGTACATAAGCACTGGGTGGTGTTTGAGAGTTTAGTGTACATAAGCATTGAGTGGTGTTTGAGAGTTTAGTGTACATAAGCATTGAGTGGTGTTTGAGAGCTTAGTGTACATACGCATTGGGTGGTGTTTGAGGGCTTAGTGTACATAAGCACTGGGTGTTGTTTGAGAGTTTAGTGTACATAAGCACTGAGTGGTGTTTGAGAGCTTAGTGTACATAAGCATTGAGTGGTGTTTGAGAGCTTAGTGTACATAAGCATTGGGTGGTGTTTGAGAGAATAGTGTACATAAGCACTGGGTGGAGTTTGAGACTTTAGTGTACATAAGCATTGAGTGGTGTTTTAGAGATTAGTGTACATACGCATTGGGTGGTGTTTGAGAGCTTAGTGTACATAAACACTGGGTGGTGTTTGAGAGTTTAGTGTAAATAAGCATTGAGTGGTGTTAGAGAGCTTAGTGTACATAAGCATTGTGTGGTGTTTGAGAGCTTAGTGTACTTACGCATTGGGTGGTGTTTGAGAGCTTAGTGTACATAAACACTGGGTGGTGTTTGAGAGTTTAGTGTACGTACATATAGGAGGTTTGAGAGCTCACTATACGTACACATTTGGGGGTTTGAGGGATTTTATATGTACACATAGAGGCTTCGACAGCTTATTTTACGTCTGCTAGCAAGGGCGAGGCGGGTAGAGGTCATTATTCGTACGCATGGGGGCTAAACGCTCTTTGTACGTATATTCTCAGCCAAAAGTAGAGGACGATATAATGATAACATACATATTAACGTGTGATGATGAGGATGACTGTTAAGGTGGCGCATCACACCTCTCCATGCTCGTGATTCTTTTTTTAAAAAGCCCTTAGACGATTATCAAAGTTTTTTTTTTGAAATATGAATTTTTAAAAATGAATTGAATGGAGAAACTAGAAATTAGTTTGAATAAAGTTAGAATCCAAGACAAGCAGTGAGCTCTTCAGATAAATTGTAAATATATTCAATTAAATGTTTCACAGTCAGAACAATTCTCAAACAAGAGTAAAATTTACTTAAGGGTGCTTTTGAACAACTTTGAGTAGACATATATGTATGTATACTGTATTCAGGCCTATATATGGATATGCTTACTCAGAAAGTGTACAATGATGCCCAAACAAGAGGGATATTTACTAAATGATGCTTCTGGGATAGATGGATTAGACATGTTGATTACAGGGAACGAACTAAGAAGTTGGTCCTTGCAGCTAGGACTGAATATATCAGTCACCATATTGTAGATTGTGGCTCAAGTAGGGGTTTATTTCGTATTGTGGGTCATTTGACCGGTAAAGAGAAGGACATATCTTACCCAAAGAACATTGCCGTAGGCGAGCTGCCAGACGCTCTAAATCATTTCTTTATTAAGCAATTTACAAAAATCAGCGAGACTTGAAAGTTGCACCGATGCTCCTGAATTCCTTCAGTTTAATGGCATTCCTATTTGCGAATTTTTGGAGGTCATAGAATCACATTTTAAGAAAATCCTGATTGACTCCCCGAAAAAGTCATGTTTGCGGGACCCTCTTCCAGCAGGACTGTTGTACGAATGTTTGGATGAAATAGTCCCTAGCATAACTAGTATCATCAATCAGTCAGGTATGTTTCATCTGCTTTTAAAGAGGTGGTTGTAGCTCCACTGCTACAGCAAACAAATATGGACTCAAATGTGTTGGAAAATTAGTGTCCAATCTCAAATCAACCATTTGTTTTCCAAATTTTAGAGAAAGTCGTTCTCAGTCAGCTAATGAACTACCTCACTCAGTGTGACTTGTTTGAGACATTCCAGTCAGCATACAGCGCGCATCACTCACTGAGACATCCCTGTTGCGCGTCGTAAATGACATTCTGTCATCTTGTGGTGAGGGCAGGGTAGCCCTTTTGTTGTTACTTGATTTATCGGCAGCATTCGATACGCTTGACCACGGCATACTTCTCCAACGTCTGCAAAAAAGTTTGGTTTCACCGATACCGTCCTGAGATCGTTCCGCTCGTATCTGACAATTTGGGCCTAATCAGCTATCGCAAACGGCTTGACCTCGAAACAATCTGTTATTGAATTCGGAGTACCCCAGGGCTCGGTCCTAGGTCTAGTGCTTTACACTATGTACGTGCATTGATCAAGCATTTTTATATGCTCTATCACATGTTCGCAAATGATACTCAACTTCAGCAATCCGTGATCCCCTGTCAGTTCCCTCGGCTTCTTAGTATGACACAGAAGACAGTGGAGTCAGTTAAACACTGGATGAACATAAACAAGCTCAAATTGAACGATTAAAAGACCGAGCTGATCCCCATTGCTACAGCTCAACAGCTAAAATTTGTAAATAACACAACACCCCTTTCTCTCTCAGGTATGCAGATTAAGATTGATAAAACACTGCGAAACTTGGGTGTATACTTAGAAAGAACACTATCTATGGAAAATCACATTAACATGATTTGCTTTGCAATTTTTCTAGAGATGCGAAGAATTAGTCATATCAGACCTTTCTTAACGTTTGATGCAATAAAGGCTGATGTCTGCATTCGGGCTATCACGCATGGACTACTGCAATGCTCTCATGTTGGGTCTTACAGCTACGCTTCTGGATAACATTCAAACAGTACAAATAATGAGTCTAGCATTGTTTTTCGCAAACGCAAATTTGAAATTGCTAAAACACTTCCGTGAGAGTGGCATTGGCTGCTGTGGTTGCATAGAGTATAAAATTGCACCTCTGTGCTACCGCTGCTTGCATTACCAGGCGCCATCCTATCTCAAAGCAGTCATGACGCCTTATGTACCCACTAGACAAATCCGCTCATCCAATAGTGGCAAACTCTCGATACCACCATTTCAATTTGAGACTTACGGAAGGCGCACGTTCGCATTTGCTGGCCCAACAATTTGGAAAACATTTCCTGTCGCTCTCAGAAACAGCCAGACACTGAAGTCTTCCAAAACCGATTTGAAAAAATATATATTTCGCAAACACCTGTTGGGGTTATGTCTACCATCTTTTCCAGCTCGCTGTTAACTCCAATATGTATAGTGGCCTGTGTTGTTTGTGGTTGCAGGGGATGAAAGACTTAGAATGGGTATTCTCTTATGTAGTTTTTGTAATGTTGCGTTTTGCATTTCAATGTGGTAAAATATAGTTTTTTTCATTTCTGTTTTAATATGGATGACTCTGTACCAAATTTCGAGCCCTTTGGGATGAAGCTTGATTTCAAATAAGCTTTATTATTTTTTATTATTATGTATGCATGTATGCATGTATGCATATGTTTTAACATTATGTGTACAACGCGCTGTTCCACCTCCAGGTGC